ATAGGATTTTGAGCAAAGTTTTTACCAGTAAATTATGCAAAAGGTGTCAGACGCAAAACATTTCAGAAACCGTATGTATCAAATACGATACATTTGGCATTACAGGGTTAATTTAGTTACTTTAATGCAATTGTTTCTTGTCCTACCCTACTAACATTACAAAAATGCTTTAAAGTAATAAAATATGATTAAGTAAATGCCAAATTGCATTGAACACAAATCAGCATTTGTGACAGACTGCATGGACACTATGAATAACAAATAGTAAAAAAATAGTAAATAAAGCACATACTCTTGCACACCAATTTAGTATTAATCCAGCAACTTTTCCATGATGAATGGATGTGCTACCGTTCAACATTTTCTCTTCAATATTTTGTTTATTAGCTTAAATATTTTTTTCCAGTCACAATTGTATTATTAATAGCAAGTAATAGATGACAGAATACGAAATCACCTCAAATAAATTTTTAATAAAAATGTTAATTCAACAATAGTCTAATAAAATGAATATAATCCTAAAGTCAAATCATTGAAAGAAAAATCTGAAACAGCTGAACCTTCAAAAACCCATAAAGTGAACAGAGAGAGGAATATCTTGCCTGTGCTGGCCCTTTCTCCAAACCTTTCGTATGCAATTTATTTGTAAGAATTTTTTTTCTCCTGCTTTTTAGCAGAGACCTTTTACTAATCAATAAAAAACCCAAAACACTTTTTTTTTATGTATATAAACATGACAATACTTTTTCAATAAAAGCCTTTGACCAAATCATTTACTTATTTACTTTTTATTAAAAACTGAAAAGTAAACTTTTTCATATTTATAAAACCAATTGTATTTCTTTTAAATAAAATTTTACTTTTTCATCATCTTGGCCTGCATATAACCCCATATGTATAACATTAAAATGTTAGGTTACATGGGTTACTCCGGGTGTGTATTCAGGACGCAAGCCTTGAGATTGCTACTGTACAGATGTAGCTTGCCTAATAAAGTTTTAGAACTGCTTTTTTAAGCGATGGATGGCATCTTTTTAGTTCTCACCCCATGCCTGTTTCCATTTTTTGTGACCATAAATTTTACAGTAAAAATTTTACAGTAAACATTGACATCTAAAGGGTCTAACTTGCAAGCAAGTCAACTGACAGGGAATGCACAGCAACAGGTGTGGGAGGGGTAATGCTGCCTTGCATTGCAGTGGTTACTACTACTTTTATATGCTTTAAGACCTGATTTCTGACTTTCAAAATCTTAAATTGTGTGACCAAAGGTTGGTTTTGCTGCTTGGATTTAAATACAAACTGAGTTTCCTGAAAGCTAAAAAGTCAAATGGAAATTCTAAATTGTGTTTAGGAATATTTATCCTTATTGCAAGAATTTTCACCAAATGCTATTGTGGAGATGTTGCATTGTAATACTATCTGTTGAAATAGCAGAGAAGAGAAGAAAAGGGAATATGAAAACAAAGAACAGAGAAGAAAATGTTTACAGGGAAGAAATTCAACTGAGACAGGGGAAAGGCCAATGTGATAGTTGTGGAACTGTCCTATCTTGTAGCCAAGATCTGGCATTGGTGTCTGTCTCCCAGCTGGTTGGAGAGAAATAATGGTGGCGTTCCAGCTAATTTATAGGACAGAATGACTGGCTGGGGAAACAGACAGTTATTCAGTCTGACGTTCCAAGGTAAATTTGTTTAAAAAGAAAAAAAAAAAGTGTAAATGTGTTATCTGATGGATCGGAAGAATTTTTCCCAAACAGAAGAATGCTCTTGGATTTTCAGGGACATGAGAAGTCACAAGCTAAGCCAGTGAAACAAAATACAGATTTCACTTTAATAGCCTACTTTTATTTCACTATTTATAGCATAATTCTGCTAATTTTATGATTGTCGCTGATAAAGTGACACATTTTGAAAGGTAATTTGAAGCCATAATTGAATGAATCCATAATTTTGCATAATTCTGCCAGTAAAGATACATCCTGTGGATACAGGACGTAATTAATCTATTTTGTGAGGTGTGTATTCTGTGTCCTCAGTGTAGTGCACAAGCTTTATTTCAGCCATCCGGACAGCCAAAGTGCTACATTTCCTTCAGAGAGGGATTGAAGGAGCCAGGGGATCCTACTACTTACACACACATATATACACCCCCCCTCCACACAGAGGAGCTCTGAAACCTGAGTCACACTGCCTCACTGGCTTCCTCCTCCATCTAGCACCACATAAGTGTCCAGGCAATGCCCTTGGCTTAATAGGGCTTAATGCCTGTGCTTGTCACTGTAGCATGGCAGGTATTGAGTGTTAGGACATTTCTGAAACAGTGCTTGCGTGTGTTCTCTAGAGTCTCACTAGTGTCTCGAAAGCTCTGACATTTACCCCAGGTAAAGAACCGGATGCTATTATCTACCCCATCCACCTTCCCTTGTTTCCATCTTTTTTTTTTTTACAATCTCCACCTTGGCTGGCTCAAACTTTACATTAGTTAGATATAGGATTATAGAGTTGTTAGGTATTTTTCACTTTTATTGAAACCTTATCTAGAGTAACTACCACTGCCTCATTTCTGTCTTTGCCTTTCTTTGACTCAATCTGTCTTCATCTTCTACTTTCTCACTTCACTTTTTTTTCACTTTGGAGTAGTGACGAGTTTGCCTAATGAAGTGGCTGATGGGAGTATATTACAGTGAGATAGAGTGGGGCGCTTGTCTACTCCAACATCCATTAACCTTACAATTTCAGCCAGCATAGATACAGGACTGAGCTTTGAATCAAGCTCAGGAGTTGCACAGTTATGGCTAAACCTTTGTTTCAGAAACAGATATGTCTTTTTAAAATCAAAAATGGTCTCAGTCTAGTATAGTTTACTGGAATATCATTGCAATGTTCTTTTAATGCAGATCAGTTTGAAAAATGAAAGCTATTTCATGTACTGTAAATTCTTTGAACACAAAGTGATATACTTCAAACATTTTTTTCTTCATTATGACGATTGCGCTTTAGATCTAATTAATACCCAGCATTCAGTTTCTTAAAAGAATTGAAGTGTAATTAAGATCAGTAGTCACTAAAGTGATACATGCCCATTGAGGTAGTTTAAAGTTTATTTTTCATACAAAACTAAAGGGATGAACTAAATATATAAACTTAAGGGATTAACCTGGATTGTATTGACCATGGGTATGCTGGTGTGACCGGATAAGCTCATCTGATAGAATACCAGCTTCACTTAGATTTCGTTACATGTCCGCTCTGTAACTCACCACAAAATGTTGCAATGCAATAGCCCAGACTTGAGGATTTCTCTGACTATTAATCTGATGGACAATGGAGGGGAGCATCATGACTAAGTGCCACAGAGCTGGTAGGAATTATAACATTGAGTAGAAGGGCTGAAATGGAGGATGCACGGATGAATAAGTCTGGATGAATGATCAGTTAGGGCATCAGAGCTTTCACAGACACATGTATCCAGGACCTGGGATGTAACTATTACAATCCTTAGTGAAACCCGTCTGTAACCAGATAAAAAGAATTTTGCTCTGACTAAATCCTGAACAAAAATAGCATCTATGATGATATATTCATAAAGGGGTATATGTCTTTATTAAAAATAGGGTTATGTAAAATATATATTTATACACTACAGATGTTACAACTTTCAAAGAAGCTGTTTGACCTTCCAAAAAGCTTTTCTTAAGTTGTATGTTTGGATGTTCAAAAAAGGAAAACTGATTTTGAAATGGACAAATGATATTCAGAAACCTGTTTAATGCCAACTTATTCAGTCTGTGCTCACACAAGAAAAAGCTTAAAGATAAATGTATTACATTTTCTTGTTTTTTCCTTTTTTAAAGAGAAGCAGTGGTAACACAGTAATTCCACAGTGAGCTTACCTAACTCAAACAAGCTGAATACACATTTTTAATAGGATCTTTTTCAGACTTTGGCAAAATTGTCTCTTTTTCCTTTTGATGTGCTTTTTCATTTTGCGCTAAGCAAAAGTCACTTCTGAACACTAGCAACAGGGGGTTCGTTTGTCATCTAATCTTGCAAACGAGCCGATGGCCGTCCATTCCGTCCACTAATGAGATTAGACACGCATTGCAGGTCGCACCACAGGTCATTGTTCCACATGCCCTTACAAAAGCAATTATTGTTTTAAATGTTCTTCTCATCGCCTTCTTAAAGCAATTGTGCATGGCTTGATTAGGAAAAAAATAGCTCTAAGCTAGACAGTGAGATTCAAATTTCCTTTTCAGTCAGAGCCTTAAAGATTTCACACTCCTACAGTCTTACCTCTTTGGGCTACTAAGGTTACTTATTTGCATAAGTCACAGAATATAAGTGTCAACTGTTTTTTGGGAGGGGTAAATGCATGTGGGATGATTGTGGACACAGTAAAAATGTATATGAGGTATTTTAATATTTAGCTATGCCATATTTCTGGGTTAAATACAAGCTGGTGTTTTGGGCATGCTATGATGTTAAATTACGCACACTCTAGAAACTTACTAACTTAAAGGTTTCAGGAGTTATTATACATTTGTCTCTCCTGGGGCTTTGTGTGTGTTTAACTGTTTCTTTTTTTGGTGTCTATGAATTCGCCAACAAATCTGTTTTGGTAGATCAGTAAGAAATAGCAGTCCACAGGGATAGCCTGCATCTTTGTTCTCCTGCTGACAATAGAGGACTCTCAGTCAGTCTAAAGGGGGAAATTATGTCCCAAAGCAGTCTGGGAGAAAAAGAGATACACACAGTTCTTCTCACATGCTACTCATGTGGGGCATGACCTCAATAAAAGCTGCTGTTGTGTTTGCAAAGCCCTCAACACCATGTGCCAACCACTTTAAACTCAGCAAGGCCTAAGGTCCGGCCTTTTTTCTCACATTAAAGTGATGAAAGTAGTTCAGACAACTCTTCTTATTAGTCTTTTTTACAAAGCAGTGTTTAACATATAGTCAGCATCTTTGTAAGTTCTTTCTCTCTCTGTCCCCACAGGTAAGGAGGAGCCAACTACGTATACCTGCACAACGTGTAAGCAGTCATATGGCAGTGCCTGGTTCTTGCTTCAGCATGCCCAGAACTCTCATGGCTTTCGAATTTATCTGGAAAGCGAACATGGCAGTCCTCTCACCCCACGCATGGGTGGGCCATCTTCTCTTGGTGGTGGTGCCGACTGTCCCTCTCAGCCTCCCCTTCATGGACTCCATTTGCCGCCTGATGCAAGCCCTTTCAACCTCCTCCGCATCCCTGGCTCAGGCTCAGGGGGAAGGGACAGCGTCGGAGCAGGAGGTGCCATTGGCTCTGGGGTTCCTGGGGGCCATCATCAGCGTTTCCCCCCAACCCCACCTCTCTTCAGCCCCCCTCCACGAAATCATCTGGATCCCCACCACCTGAGCCCAGAGGAGCTGGCGCTGGCAGCCCACCACCCGAGTGCCTTTGACAGGGTGCTGCGCCTTAATCCTCCTCTGCCTCTGGAACCACCTCCGACAATGGACTTCTCAAGGCGTCTACGGGAACTGGCAGGCAACACCTCAGGGTCTACTCCCCCGTTGTCACCCAGCCGGCCAAGCCCCATGCAGCGCTTACTGCAGCCATTCCAAACAGGAGGAAATGGAGGTACAGGGGGCACAGGGGGTAGCAAACCTCCATATCTTGCTACTCCTCCACCACTACAAGGCTCCATGCAGTCACCTGTGGGTTCACAAACCACTCCTCCAACTCCTCTCCCTTCAGCAGGACCACCCTCTTCCTCCAACACTCAGTTAAAATCAAAGTGTTGTGAGTTTTGTGGCAAGGCCTTTAAATTCCAGAGCAATTTAATAGTGCATCGACGAAGCCACACAGGAGAAAAGCCGTACAAATGTCACTTGTGTGATCATGCTTGCACACAGGCCAGCAAACTTAAACGACATATGAAGACCCATATGCACAAATCATCCTCGCCAAACACAGGCAAATCAGAAGATGGTCTATCTATTGCCTCATCCCCCGAGCCTGGCACTAGTGATCATATAGGCAGTGCAAGCAATGCACTTAAATCAGTGGTGGCCAAACTGAAAAGCGAAAATGACCGCATGATACGAGAAAATGGCGAGGAAGAAGAAGAAGAGGAGGAAGAAGAAGAAGAAGAGGAGGAGGAAGAGGAGGAGGAGGAGGAAGAGGAGGGGGAAGAAGAAGAAGTACAGAATGGGGAGAGGCCACCCAAACGAAACAACAGCTATCACTTTGGACTGAATCTGGAAGCATCACGACAACATGAAAACAGCAGTGGTATTGCAAGTCGACTGGCTGGGGTGGCTGATGAGGCATCTATTCCTCGGTCACTGCCAGAGGTCATGCAGGGAATGGGTCTTGCTGCCAGCATGCAGCATTTCAGTGAAGCCCTCAATGCACACAAACGAAACGCAATGTTGCAAGAGAACCATCTGCATCATCATCTCAGCAGAGACCATCACCACAATCGGGACTTGTGCGATGGAGACTCTGTCCTGGAAACAGAACGTGTAGAAGAAGGCACTGTTTCCACAGTAAATGGACGAGGAGCTTCTCCTAATGAATCTTCTTCAATTGGCCTCTCAAAAAAACTGCTTCTGGGTAGTCCCAGTCCACTTAGTCCTTTTTCAAAACGCATTAAATTGGAGAAAGAATTTGACCTGCCTACCCCTACCATCCCTAACACAGAAAACGTCTACTCCCAATGGCTGGCTGGCTATGCTGCCTCTCGACAACTCAAGGATCCCTTTCTTAATTTTGGGGATTCCAGACAATCGCCTTTTGCATCATCATCTGAGCACTCGTCAGAGAATGGCAGCCTGCGTTTTTCGACCCCACCTGGAGAACTTGATGGAGGAATGTCAGGCCGCAGTGGGACAGGCAGTGGGGGCAGCACACCCCACCTTGGGGGTCCTGGAAGACCCAGCTCCAAGGATGGACGCAGAAGTGACACTTGTGAGTTCTGTGGCAAGGTTTTTAAGAACTGCAGTAACTTAACAGTACACAGGCGTAGCCACACAGGAGAGAGACCCTACAAATGTGAGCTTTGCAATTATGCTTGTGCCCAGAGCTCCAAACTTACCCGCCACATGAAGACCCATGGTCAGGTGGGAAAAGATGTATACAAGTGTGAAATTTGTCAAATGCCCTTCAGTGTTTACAGCACCTTGGAGAAACACATGAAAAAATGGCACAGTGACCGTCCTTTGAGTACCGAAATAAAGTCAGAGTAGAAGGCAGAAACAATGAGACCTTTTTCCCCTCACAACTGGGTCGCCAACAGTCAAGTGTTTATTCCTAGCCCCCTTGTAGATTTGTCCTGATACCAACACTCCCTCTTTCACCAAACTGGTGGAAGTCTAAGACCATGTGCTCTGCACCAGCACACCTTGTTTTCATTACCCATCGAATGCATGATCTGTATCGGGGCAATACTCTTGCATTGACGCAAAACTTCGAGCCTTTCTCTTGTGCAATAATTTACATGTTGTGTACTATTTCCTTTAATTGAGTTTTCTTTTGCTTTTCATTTTAAAGAATTAGTCAGCATGCATAGTATGTTTTTTGCTAATCAAAAAAGAAAAGAAAAAAGAAAAGAACTTGTCCCTGGTTGGTTAGTTGTTGAGTAAATGTGTTGCTGTTTTTCTCTCATTCAGTTATTTTCTTTTTATTCTTAAAAAATAAAAATAAAAAAGAAATATACATCCATGCTGCATACATTCTGTAACACATATCATGTACAGCTTTGTTTTGTAACATGGAAATTGAACAGTCTTTTACTTGACCCCCTTTTTTACGACCCTGAAAATGCACTTATTCTAATCTTTCTAAAAGATAAAATGTTCACACAGGGTTTAAAAGGAATAAAAAATAATCATAAACATTTGGCTTGACTACTAAACTTAAAATGATGACAGGCCTCAAACTTCTTTCAAAAAGACAAAGTTTGCAACAAACTCAATTTGTACTATCATTTGGAGTAATAAGGAAGAGTGCCTTTGATATATCAAAAGTGCATTGGCCATTATCTTACCTGGTTTAAGTTTGGGGTCACACAAGACAAGGCTAAATGAGTTAGACCACCCAGAAAAAGGTCCTTGAATCAAGCACCTGACAGCTCAAACTGACAATTCACAATGAAAGTTCAAAATCATCATTTAGCTATTACATGTTCAATACTTTGTCTATGTTTTGGGAATTTATGGCAAGCATGGTACGAGCAGTATTGTGAATATCTGAATTAGTTGAGGTTTTGCTTTTGAGAGAAAGGTGATATGTGATGAAATGTACAATCCAAAACTTGAGGGACGAGGCGCAGTGTCACATGTCTGCGTTAGCACTAATCTACAAAGCTGCTTCAGCATGTCAGTGTGTGGAACAATGCAAAAAGTAATATTTGAGCTTAAATTGAAGCTCACTTAAGACTTGTAAAAAAATAACAGCCTAAACAGATAAAAATCTAAATAAAACTGGAAGCTATGTGCCCATTATGGGATCCAAGGCAATGTATTTTACTTGTGAATTCTAGATTCAGAACAGGGTCATCAGCAATGACTGGCAGAGAAAGAGAGATTTCAGAAACATATATTTTTTTGTTTTTAAGCTTTTTATGTCTATTAATATGCATGTAGTGGCTCCCAAAAGTGTGCACAGCCTTGCTAAAATGCCAACTCTTCGTGATTGAGAAATGAAAAACCAAAAAAATGTATTTAATATATCCCACATAAAATGGGACAATTCTGTACAACTCAAGTAGAAAAGAACCATACAACATAGGCTGTAGTAATTTTAACACACCCACATATATATATATATATATATATATATATATATATATATATATATATATATATATATATATATATATANATATATATATATATATATTTATTTATGTGTGTGTGTATTTATGTATATGCGGCAGTTTTTAACATGGGTGTGTATACTTTTGTAGGGCAATGCAAGGCACACTGCTTTTTGTTTCTTGTTTATTTGCAACCCAAAAGAGATTGTTTTTTAATTAATTTCATTTATGCTGTTGGATGTAAAGCACTAAATGTGCATTGTCCTAGATATACATTGAGAGATGGTACATGGATTGAGTCTACAAGCTGGATTTGTTTGACGTGAAGTGCACTGTTTCAGTTTTCCCAGTTTACAAGTTTATGCCGAAGGGGAAAATCTTTTTTAATGTCTGATGATGAGGATCCTCTTGTTACAAGCAGTAAAAAAAAAAAAAAAGCACCACACAAAATCTGTTGCTAGCAGCGTTACCTACCCTGACCTCTGTATCCTCACCATTTCCTCCTTGAACATTTGGTAACCCACAAAACTCCAAATTTTACTCTCAGCCTAACTAATCACTGCTCATACCTAGTGGCAAACTAAATGCACTTCTCCTGGCTTTATTAACAACCACCTTTTTTAAAGAAGTTCATATTCATCATCATCTGAACAAGTTTCTGCCTGGACAACAGACACTCCAATCTTGTTACTTACATCACAAGGTTCTGTTTTTGTAACTCCCTCAAATATGGGCATAAAAACATGTCTTTTTTTTAAATGGCACTATACTATATTTGGGGGGGGAATCTATTAAGTTTTGTTATTGCCTCCTCGTGGTGATTAATGCTCCGATCACAGTATATGCAGGTGAAGCATTTCTGAAAAGTTGAAAAGAAAAAGATTTTGTGATGTTTCTTTTTTTTTTTTTTTTCATTTTCTGCCTTGGTTCTTCATGGCTCTTCAGGTTTAAATACAATTTTCATTGGGGAAAGGATTGAGATTATATATGAATATATAATAAAGAACTTAAAATATAGGAAAATGCACAGTCATGTCAGTTCCTATTCTTAAACACATTTATGGTCTACTTTTTCTGTATTTCTAGAATTGTATTTGAATTCAATGTTCACTTAGAGTAGGCACTATAGTATTTATATTGAGGCTCGTATTTTTAACTGTTGCTTGTTCTCTCTAAAGGTATTTGCCATACCTGTTTTGGTAGTGGAAAAAAACCCCAAGCTGCCACGGTATATTTTTTTAATTTGGCAGGATAATATAGTGCGAATTATTTGTATGTCTAAAGAAATAAAATAAAATGTAAAAAAAAAATCCCATAAAAAAGCAGCTAAAGTGTGTGGCATTGGGAAGCATTGCAGGTCATCAGATGGCTGCTGCTTTCATTCCTGCTGCCACAGAGGTGTTTGTACATATCTTCTTTGTTTTTTACTTTTTTGTTCGCACTTCTTTATCCTCACTCTGCTGCCATTCCTGTATGCAGTACTGAACGCTGACGTTGGCCTGTTCTGTTGTGTGCTTCTGTCTCTCTCACCTCTCCCACCTGACAACATTCCAACATCAAGAAGAGAGGAGGAAAAAATCAAAAGATTAAAAACAAACTTAATATGCAGTACATGGATCTCTTAAAAAAAGTTGAAATAAATACATTTAAAAACAAATGAAATGTTTTTGCATTTTCTTTTCCATTGCCAAATACTAAATGGTGCTTTATATTTAGATTGGGTGAATATACTTTCATATGCAAAGCATATTTAAAAATGACCAGGGGGATGTGGAGAAGCCGGCTTGAGTTGAGACTTTTTTTGTAAATGGCAATGCGGAATATTTTGTTATCAGCCTTTTCTATTCCTGTTCTGAGAGCTGTTTGTTGTAACTTGAACATGAACTTTATCTTTTACAATGGAAGCTACTATTTATTACCTATATGCTCTGTTCTAAACAGAGACATGGAATGGAGTCATATGTTTTTGGTTTGTTTTTATTTTATTCATTTGTTTTAATTTCACTATAATTTTATTTCATTTTCTAATGGTGGCCAGTGGTCATTGGACAAAACAAGCTCTATGATTTCTGTTGTACTTGTTTGGGGTCTCTGTTCAGTTGTAATGGGAATACCACTGTCTGTGTTTTCTGGCAGATGTCTGCATAATCCTGTTCACATGCCCATTTTGTCCCTTTATTGAAAAATGATTAATAAAAAAATGAAAGCCTAATGGTATCCTTTGTTTTAATTTACAGCTTTGAATAAAGCTGTTGTCCCAGTTTTATACATATATTTTCTTTTAAGAAGGCTTTCTGTATAAACCTAATAAAAAAAGAGTCAGTTGTCTGAAACTTCAAGACTTGTGTTAATGTTCTTTTTAATATGCTAACAAAAGAAATAAGACGAAGAGTAGAGTAGTAAATCAGACTAACATTTCTTTGTTAGTCTGATTTAAGTAACTTTGTTCTATCACATCAATACCATGTACAGTAGTTTTCACATTCTCAGCGATTGCCTGAAAATGTTGAGATAAAAGTCTGTAAACCGTCTTTAGTATAGATGGACAGGCTGCAGGATCGGAAACTGCGACGTTCATATAACAATGCAATAAAGCCTCTTTCCCCTTGAAATTGGGGGTTTAACCCAGGTTAAGGGTGGACCAGCAAACAATCAGTATTTGGCTCCCTTCCCAGGAGCAAAAATAGCTGGTTCTGACCTCCCGCAGACAAGCTGCATGACCTCTGTGCCCATGCTGCTGCGTGTCTGGTGACACCATCATGCTGTTTTAACGTTGATGAGGTCACCAGTGTGACAGAAATCAGGAAAGTAAACAATGGAGAGTAACGTGTAAGGAAGGCAGGCATAGTGAGTATTATATGTAGTGTTTTGCTCTTTTACAGTATCTGTCCGAAATCCCTCTCACCAGTGCTGCGGCATGTTTATCAAATGTACACAAAGTTGTTTTTGCTTGTTAGATCAGACGCGACTGCAGTCAGTGTGTTGACGTCCGTACATTGTATTGGTATCACATAAATTGGCAGGTCGACTCGGGTCTGGAGTTCCCACAGCATCCCCATCAGAGGCGATTTTAACACATGTCACTTGCTGAGTCATTTGACCCGGGTCAA